TTTCAAATAACCCAATAGGACCCATGACACACTATCAAGTGTAGGGGCTGATGATTGGTAGGCCAAATGTAGCCAATAAACAGTGGAACCATTGTTCCTGTATGTGGATCACTGGTTCCCCCCTTCAGAGCAAATCAGATGCACACATAGTGCTAGATGCCACTCTCTCTATGCACATTTATATGTATCTCTATATATAGGATTGTTGATTATCATATGTACATGTTGTTTGGAAGTTTTGTTGAGAATTTAACTCTTGCTCTCACAAGCCCTTTCTAAGCATATAGAAGACCACACAACTCTTTTGACCTATAAACAATGTCTTTGACCATCTATTCAAGCTCAATAAGAGACAACTACAATAAACCCTCAACGATGGTGCCACATATCCAATAATAGAAATTTTGGACATAGCCCAGGCTATAGACTGTCCAACCCTTAGTCATTCAGCCATAATACACTCCACTAAAGTGTACAAATCACTATAAATAATTTTATTAATAAACTCTCAAGACCTTTAACAACCACAAAACCTAATCTCATCTCTTGAGTCTACATGATCCTCGCTTTCACTAAACTAAGGACATGCTAGAGATCATGCCCTTAACCTAAAAGACTATGCGCAATCGCGTAAAGAAACATGTTGTAATTGCATCCACCATTTCTAGTGGAAGGGACTTTGATGGAGGGGTTATATTATCGTTTTGGCCTCCCATAAGGCAATAGAGTTTGTCACATTTCTTCGGGAACATGCAACATTTTTTGGGTTTGACGAAGGGTAGGGCCCTCTCTTCACTTATTTAAAAAAAAAAAAAAAAAAAAAGACAAAAAAAAAAAAAAGGAAAAGATAAAAAAAAAAAGAAAAAGAAAAGAAGATAAGTTTGAAGTGATATGGGGTAATTTGTCGAAAATAGACTTTATGAGGGTATAGATTAATGCAAAGGAATACTTTCGTGTACAATTGAGCATGCAAGGGTATAAGCAACATAATGCGCCAAAACCCAACCTAAAAAGGACTTTTTAGATTCACTAGAGTGTTTGAATGGCGAACGATGATTGGTGTTTGCACTTAGCGTGACTTATCTCAAGTTTATAGAAGGTTGGATTAGTATTTCTCATAAGTATATCATAACAACGGTTTAGCTATTGCAAAATAATGTACCCAAACATGAGAATATAATTGTTTTAAAATCTCACAGGCACAAAAACTAGGTTTTTATCTCTAAAATGCCCACCTAAAGAACTAAAAAAACTCACCATTTTCTCTCACATTTACATGCATTTTTTTTTAACGAGTCACATTTGCATGCATTCACGTGTACTTCCTCTCTCTCCCTCTCTCCCTCTCTCGA